CATGGTTTAGTGGGAAATATTGGTGACAGGTGGATAATTGGACTGGATGATCTTGGAGGTTTTTTCCAACCTCAGTGATTCTACGATTCTTTGAAACAGGAAATAGGACATTTTAATGTTCTTTCTAAAATTTTCTGCAGATCAGGCTTGCAAATGCTGCTTGTTACTATTCTTTTGTTATTATTCTCTTAACTATCTGTTACTTAAAATATCTAAACTCTCTTCAGATGAAAAAATAACAACAAAAATCAGCCAGAAAGTAAAACTGCAAATTTTCCTTTGATAGAAGATTGGAGATGCTCCTCAGTACCTAATTAGTAATAGGCTATTCAGTTGGGCAAAAGAAGACTAAGGGCTGCAAAAACACACTGCACCTTAGGTGTCATGCAGCACTGGGTGAAACATTACGTTAAGCTAAGCTTTACTTCATCTGCCCACAGTGAAAAGGATAAGTGAGAAACAAAATCCCAAAAGCCTTTTGGAAAACACTTCTTTCAAATATACTCTTCTATAAAGCAATCTATATTCAAATTAAAAAAAAAAAAAAAAAACTTAATTTGTAAATCATGACAATAAAAGTCAGGATCTTTACAATTTTTAAGTTTACTGGGGTGTTCTGCATGAGTAATAAAGAGGTGCATAATGAGTCAATTTTGTAATTTTGTGTTAAATAGGTTTTAAATGTCTATGGCAAAATATTTCTTACTCTTTAAACCATATTTTATAAATATTAACAAGTCATGCACTCTTTTCAGTATTTCTAACAATACTCACAAAACACTTAATGTACATCCCTCTTCTTGCATTTTCATCCTAAGTTTTTCTTCTTTGGTTCACAGTTTCTAGTAACCACTGCCTAGCAAATACGTCTGGGTTCACATCAGGGTTTACTCTTTTCTCTTTGTCCACTACACATCTATTTCAACCACCTTTGAAGCTGCTCCCAAGCATAAATTAACCTGGAAGAACAATATAATTTCATTCCTTACAGGGTTAACATGTCACCATTGTCCAAATTTTCCTTATTATCTTCTTATATGTGAAACAGATATGACATCACAAAGCTTTTCCAACTTAATCAAGCCTTTCTGTGTAAGGCACAGTAATTCTGCCTTTCACAGAGAGTTATTGAGCACAAAGGTACATGAAAACAGGAATAATTTAGTATGCAAATGTTATTTTTTATTTAAAGGTGCTCTTGCAACTTAAGGGAAGCCAACGTATTATTAGAAAAGTCATTAATACTTGCTTATTTTAATTTTGCCCATACATTGTTTGCGTAGCACGCCTAGGGAAAATCATGGCACCCCTGGGATATACTTGTGTCTGAACAATGACACCGCTGATAACCTTCACTGGCACCTTTCTCATCGCATTACTGGAGGATGTATGATCCTCTTCCATCAAGCTCTTTTCAGGATTCAGGTCTTAATTAACACTTTGAATCATGTAGCCCCAACGGTAAAACCCTCTGCACAGTCATTAGTAACAGTTCCATTCAACTCCACTCCTGATTTCACAGAAAATGTGACCCTGGAGATTTAAGATAACTCAAATTTCAGATAAATGATTCAGCTTCAGACAAAGTTTACAAAATACGTGATAAAGGTAGTCCTTGGAAAAAGAAGAAAAACACATATGGAAGGTAAAGAAGTTCTTTTAGTAGACAGTATTGTCTCAGATTCAGAAAATAGCAAACAAGCTTCACATGTATAAAAACCTTCCTAAAAATAGGAAGGTTTAAAAATCAGGAGTCACTGAAAGCTCTGATATAAATCCGGGATAACTGCAAATAGAAAAGCCAGTACAAATAACTGAGCTGTAAGGAGCTCTTAAGGTGATAGCACAAGGGAAACCAGCATAAAATTTTCTAGAATTAAAAATTATGTAGAATATGAGTCAGCAAAGAGATCTGCCTAGGGCTGAGATTAATAAAAGGGTATTTCTCCCCTTAAGTAATGTTTTTTAGGCTTTTTCTTTTTTTTAATTTTAAATTGGAATAAGTCCCTAGGTACATGAATATGCATAAGAAATGCATTTTTTAAAGAAACAATAACAGAACTCCTCAGAACAGCTAACCTTGATAATGGTTGAGAAGAATATCTGAATCAGAAATCAGAAGCTAAATCAAACAGTGAAATTAGTATTGAAAGGATTAATCAACATTGACACAGCCTTATTAATTCTAAGATATAAAACTCATTTCTAAATGAATGATTGATTGAACATAGCTGGAAAGCTGATCTGAAGCAAAAGACTTTGTCAATTTTATTTTTGAGTGCACGTAAATATTTAAATTACAAACAAACAGCAGCAACAAAAATAAAATGGAAAGAGAAAAGTCTATGAAAGCACATTACATTACCTCACAGATATATATAGAGAGAGAATTAGGACATAAAAGTAAACAAAAAAATTAACAGAACCTTGTGGCAAAGCAAATACTGGAAATCTAATAACATTTGCAAGTCAGCTCAGTCCTTCTTGAACAAGAGTAAAGTTTCAGCAGATCATTTCAAGCAGTTTGCTGCAAAAAGTATTTCACATGTATGTTGCAATCATGTAGTTAATGTTTGCAAATTCTGGTAGTTCGCAGTCAAAAAAAAAGTCTAAAATTGTAGAGGTTATCTCTACAGCACTGATTAGAATTTTAAAGAATGGCAAAGCAAATGCAGTTCTGGGAAGTAGGAGAGAGCTAAGATACTGCCATCATTTGAGGGTGAATTTCACCATGCACTGATACAGATGCCATGCCAAAGTCTTGCTGTTATGCACAGAACCACTGTGTACATCCTGAAATGATGGCATGTAGTTAAAAATAGTAAGCGCTGTACATTTGTTGCAGCACTGGCAGTAATGCCAGCCTCAAGCATGAAAGACATTGTGAGTCACATCCTCCAAACTAATAAAATTAGTTTTAAACTCATAAATCTTTAGCCACTAGTACATCTGAAGGACCTTCATTTGCCTTCAGATTGTATTGACTTAATTGTTTAAAATTATCTGAGAAGTCCTAAAAAACTTTTTTTGAAAAAGAAAAAAGAAATAAAAGTGATTTGAAGGAATGTTCTTTCCCTAATTTAATCATCTTTTACTTCAAGGAACTGAATCATATTACCCTCTTCAAAGAGTGATCAAGAAGTTGCCTAACTTGGATGCCCTTCTTCACCTAGATTCACAGAAGAACTGTTCTAGAATCTTTTCTAAAGTAAATATGATATACTTATCTGATTTTCTCAGGACTTTATGGTCACAACATCACACACACACAAAAATCCCTACAAGAATCCTGAACCTAAGGAAAGCAGTAAGAGTTGACTGTGATAACTTCAACAAAACAGATTTACATGAATTCATGGAAAATAACAGGAAAAAAAAAGGTGTATTTTGCAGTAATAATACAAAGTCCACATAATACTACATAAACACATGCCTACTGAGTTAGGAGAGGAAAGCAAAGAAAAATATCATCGTCATTTTACATCTATTTGACTGAAGCACAGAGAAGTTTTACCAGATAATACTAGTTTACATTACATATTAGGGAAGCTATGGGAAATGGAAGAAAAAACTCCTGTTAAGCAGAAAACGCATACCTTCTGTGGTACCTAAGCACAAAGAACTGACTAAGCAAATGACTTCTCATTTCTCTCACTGCCTACAAGAAGATTAGTCCCCAGCATAGCATGCAGCAGCAGTTTCACTTGCAGACTGATTCTCCAGTTGAGTCAAACTGTACTGATAAAAGGGCTGCTAGGATGGAACTCATTTCTCCCAGCTTTACACCTGCAGCATAGGCGTATATATCCAGACACCTCTGATAAAGAAAGAGAGAAGTCCATATTTCTGGCTGTAGTTCATCCCATTTTAAAGGCATACTGAGAATGTGTCAGGTCAGTCCTGACTGAGAAGTGCCTGCTTTGTTCTGCTGAATGAAAGGCGAGTTTAGGACAACCGGCAGAGTTTTAAAATCTACATCTACAGTACAGATGTATAAAGTTAGGCGAATTAATCCTTCTTCCTTCTCACTTTCACTTTAAATGACACATCTGAACTCATCTGCAAGTCAAAGTGGATATGCAGTTCCTCAGGGAATCCCAACCTGTTATTCCATCCAAGACTATTCCTGATATCTCTGCTTTATAAAAAGCATGTTTATGAATTCATCCAGATCCTCCATGCATGTTTGTCCACTATCTTCTGAAAATGAAACTAAACTTCTTTAGGATTCATAGTTTTTTGAGTCTGAGTTAAAAGAAAGCATATCCAAGTGTGGTGCCTTCCACAATAGAACAAAAAAGACTACTGACAAAAGCCCTTTCAAGAAATAGCTGCTGTGTATTCAAATAATAAAGAATCAAGAGATTACTAAACAGCATGGTCTTCACACTGGCAGTTCAGGATTAACCTTGCTAGTACATGATTGAAATACAGATAAAATTATCAAGTCAGAAGAATAAGTCTGAATACAAATCCTATTCACACATGGCTACATTTGTTGAAGGAGAATTAGTTGCTACTATCAAGAAAGAGCGAGGAACTGAAAAGCTGAAGAGACCAAATATTAACAGATTTATTTATCAGTAATACCAAAATTAACATTATAACTTCAAAGACACTGTTGTATTTAAATGCCTTAAGAAAAAGGTTGTTTCCTCAAGATCATGACTGACTGTAAATTTCAGTGATCTTTAAAGCATAAATATTCACATGCATCACCTAGAGGAATATTTTCCAGTCTCTTTATGGCTTGATTTGTTACTTGGACATGGTTCCTAATCTGTCAGTCAATATTATAAGCATCTGCACTATGCCAACTAACTGATGAGTTCATTTTTTACCATGAAATCACGAGCTCTTTCTACATGTCATGTCCTGTACATATCAGGCTGACACTGCCCATAACCATACAGGCAGGAAAAAAAGCAACAAAAGCATGATTCAAAAATACATATATGTATTTTAATGGTAAATAGAAAATGTAACCAATTAGTACTCACCACCAAAGCTTTAGATCTGTTGCTCAGCAGTTTTTCAATGTCTCTGGCTGCAATTTCCACTAGCTGACGAGGATTGTTGGCTTCTACAGTATACAAATCTTTGTTTTTCAAATATATCTGCAAGGATAAAAAAAAGAAATAAGCATGGCAACCAACATTCAAAATAAGAAAACTGATTTGACACAACAGCCATCATTAAGTCCTCTGTTTTTACTCAAGATCTTCAGAAAGATAAAAGGAAAATCCCAGCACGCTTTGTGAAAGAAACACTTCAACTTTTTTTTAAAAGGTATAAGGTGCTACTAAAAATCATCAAAACTGACTGATTCTGGTGACTGAATATTCAACTCCTAAATGCTCAAGGACCCAAATTTCTGTAGATGACTAAGAGAAAAGTAAAAAAAATCCCTTAAAAATGATTGAATCTGAAACCAAATAATGCTGGTGAATTTAATTATTCCTTGAATGCTGAACAACAAACATACTGTTTGAAGTAAATAATTTAAATTATGATAATGTAATCAATTTAGTCCCTTATCTATTTATTCATGTTATAGTATTAATATTCATAAGGAAAGAAGAGGAAGAGGAAGAAAAAAATAAGAGAAATAGGGGAGAAGAAAAAGGAGGAAATGGAGAAAAAAAAGAAGGGAAAAAAGTGGAAAAGGAACTGTAATTGCGTTTCTTCTGTGTTGTGAATAAAGGATATTTCTGATGAGGACCCATTAAATGTTTACAAAGCAGAACACAGATAAAGAGGGTAATTTAATTTGTTAAACAAGGCTGCTGTAATGAAATGCATCTAACCACAAGAAGTAAAGAAGGAAAAACAGAAAAACACATTTCCCCCTGTCTTTTATGTCCTACTAGAACTGTATAAAGAAAAATATACTAATTGGCAAAAGAAGAAGAAGAAGAAAAAAAAAAAAACAGATACTTTATGGGCAAATGGGGAGAACTAACTAAGGCAACCAACAGATGGCCTGAGTTTACTCAAGCACTCCACCTCACTGAAACACTGCCTGATGGGGCTGTGCTGTCTCCTGGGAGGCAGTGCCAGGCACACACAGGAGCAGGTCCAGCACTAATGCACTGGCTGAGATCCAGCACAAGAGCCAACAAACTGCACACCAGGCTGAGTCTACCAGCCCTGACAGCTTTCTCAGGTTAAAGCTATGGGGACACAAAAGAGACTCACCAATATCTGTCTAGCTCTGATGCATGTAGCTGAAAGACATTGATCACAAGCAAATTTCTAACAATTACAGTTACATCTCCAAGTTTATATCAGGCATGTCTCATAAGCTGCCATAAGTTTCTGTCATTTTTGAATTTCACACTGATGTGGTGGTTTGTGGAATTTTGTTTGTTTGGCTTCTTTTTGTCTGTGGGTTGTTGTGGGGTTTTTTGTAGGTTTTTTTAGTTTGGTTGGTTTTTTCCCAGTCCAGAAATACAGTCTTTTCACTAGTAATTAAGTAACTGAAACAGGCTTTAATTCTTGGTATAGTAGCATCAGAGCATCATGAGCAGAAAAGCTGTTACAAAAGAAAACCTTTCTAATGAACTTAGACTATAGTCGAATACTTTTGTGGTGCTTGGATCTTCAAAATTACCACAAAAATTTTATCTCAGGTGCACCGCAAAATTATTTATTTACTTTTAATGATTTTTATAGTTTATTTTCAATTTTAAAATATCCAAAAAAATTATCCTACAACTGATTGCTACATTATTTCTTACATTTTTTCTGTAACACACCAAGTTTACGCAGTCAGCCAGAGTTAAATTGACTGCTGTGACTGTAAGGACCCAATGGTTCTACAGGCAAAGCAAGATTTACAGTCAGTTTTATAGGTCCAGGTGGCCTGAATCAGGAGTGGGGAAGCATCTAAATTGGAGTGACACCAAGCATGGCAAAGGTTCTTTAAACTTCATTTGTTATTGTGTACATCTGCATCACTTTCCTTGGTTTCCTTTTTTCCAGGTGTTTTCATGCAATTGCTTTTTATGTGTGACTCAAAAGAATAAGAAAATTTAAATACAGTCCCTTTTTCATTTGTGAGTTTCAATTAGTATCTTAAAATTCAGAGGAAGCGGTGATGCAATGTAAAAATGCCATTTCGTTGTAATTGAGTTTTTCTCTGAATATTTTAAACAAACAATAAGAAGGTCACAAACAAATAAAATGTAAAGGCATAGTCAAGTATGTGCTCAAGAAGTGCAGTTTGGGGTGGTAGAGATGAATTTGAGAATGCATGGGCAAATAATAATTCACTGGAATTAATCTTTCAGTACAAAATTACAGTAAGCCATACCAACCTGGTAGGAAAATGTCCATTTTCATCCCTGTACACAATTTATTGGTTGGTTGTCAGGGGGATGTTCTTTACTACAAGAGTGGTGACATGCTGAAACAGGCTGCCCAGAGAGGCTGTGGATACCCAGTCCCTGGAGGAATTCAAGGCCAGATTGAATGGGGCCGTGGGCAGCCTGGTCTAGTATTAAATGGGGAGGGTGGTGGCCCTGCCTGTGGCAGGGAGTTGAAACTTGATGATCCTTGAGGTCCCTTCCAACCTGGGCCATTCTGTGATTCTGATTCTAATAGTAAATATAACCCTTTAAATCGCAATTTGAAGACATTCACATTTTTCATGCATCCTGCTCCTATAGGAAATCTGTCCTCAGCACTCCCATCCTGAGTAGCCTGAAAGCTGCAGACTATCCAGGAGCAGTCTAGTGGGTTCATATCTAAGAATAAAAGGAAGTTTTTGTTTCCTTTCAGCACTAACTATAAGGATAGTTCAAAATCCTGAATCATATAACAGGAAGACAATGGCCACACACAACAGGAGTTCTCCTCATACTTCAACTTAAAGCATTTGTAACAGGTGTTGTGGGTCCTGCCATTGAGAGAACCCAGATCCAATGTTAGCTCAGAAATGATCGCATGTAAGTAATTTTATAATATTTATAACTAAAAAGCAGTCTCCCATCCAAAACCACCTCCCATCCAAAAAAAAAAAAAAAAAAAAAAAAGTTTTGCACAAGATCCCACAAGATCTGACTCTTCTCTTTGCGTTACTCCATGACAGTGCTCAGAGGACCTGTCTTCCATTATTACCATCGGCAGTAGATTCATCCCACAAACTTTTTAAAAAAAGGCATCAATAATAACACAGAATTTAACACACTTCTTTATTTTCCCAAAGCATGAGACCTATCTAAACTACAAAGGAACAGAGAAAAAAATATTCACCAATTATCTGAGAGAGGTGTACATAATTTATTTGTTGTCTGCTCCCCTTTTCTGTAATTCAGCTCTAGCACTGCAGCAGTTCAGAGTAGCAGCACACAGGGAAATTACACATGCTTCAGAGTATAGCACCTTGTAAGAAACTTTTCATTCTCAAAGCTTCCTACCTCGCAGTCAAACAAATTAGTAAAAGCTCATCTCAAATAGCCATGAAGGGTCTTATCAGCAAAGGTGTGCTCATTTGCCTTTCAAATTGCAATTTGGCAGGCTCCGTGGCTTGTTAAGAAGAGCTAATTTGAACACAATTTATTAAATTGCTTTGACCATGTGAATGTGAATTTCTGTTGGCTTTTATATCTTTAGTACTTTAATCACTAATGTTCTCCTAAAAGCTCTCTAAATTGTCAATAAAGTCCTACCATCTCTCACAGAATAATGCCTCACTGCATGACTAAGTAAAATCTATAAGGTCATAGCATAAAAAAATAATTTTTCTCTTGAGTCAATAGCCATGGACTCTTGTATTCAGGAAAGAATGCATTAAAATTACTTTCTAAATGCTAAGTATTCCTGTTTAATGAGCTGCAAGGTTTTAGAAAAGAAAATGGAGGGGGGAGGACAGTTGGGGGAAATGTTACATTAACAGGAAACAGGAGAAGAACAAGGACAACAGCTGAATGTGGTAAAGATGAGAAAAAAAAAACCTGCCAATTTCTCAGCAGAACATGCATCTCTCCACTCGCTCTTCAAGGACATATTTATAAATCTCTTACAAAGAGACATTCTCCTTGCTTTGTATAAGACTTGCTAGGATAAGTCAAACATTTCTGCATAAATTGCAAGAATGAAAGATGCACATTCATTGTATGACTGCTATCCTGTGGCAGATATCGACATCTTCTGCAAGGCTGGAATTTTATTTAATGGCCCTCATGTTTTATATTACAGCTAGAAAAGCTAGTTTATCATACAAGATCCTGAGAGTATGAAACTATCTGCGTTTTGGATGGCCAGCAGTCCTGGCATTGTTTGCATAGAGTACTCAAATAACAAAGAATAACAGTTCATGATGAATCATTCTAAACCACAACAGAATTTCTTTGCCTCTTCTTTTGTTTATTTTCCTATTCAAGAAACAAAGGACATTTTTCTTCAGAGGTAACATGGCTGAAGTTTAGGTTGTATATCTGCTAATCTTTGTTCCATCATCAAGTACTTGTATGGATGTAGAAGTCATATGATATGAGAGCTTCAAAAGTCCAAACTCATAATTTCAACTGTATACTATCAATAATAATATATCTCTTCCTACCCTGAAACGTGTTTTCGAATAGAGACACAAAATACCTCCACCTTATCTTATCAATAGATAAATCTATTGATTTTTTTTGCTATATCAATACTACCTTCAAGATCTGATTGCTCAGCTAAGCTTGTGTGAAGCTTTGCTAAACTACCAATATCCACAAGGACCATCAAGCCCACACACGACCACCCAAAATTCAAACTTTGTCTTGGAACACGGTCTGAATGCTTCTTGTACTCGGTCAGGCTTGGTGTTGTGACCTCTGATACAGAACCTTTCCCTAACTCCACCCCCGTCCCTGCTCAGCTCCATGCCATTTCCCTTGGGCCCTGTCGCTGTCACAGAGAGCAGAGATCAGCACTTCCCCTCCGCTCCCTGTGAGGAGCTGCAGGCCGCCATGAGGCCTTCGCTCAGCTCCTCTGCTCCGAACAAGTGACCTCAACGACTCCATATATATCTTGCCTTCCAGATCCTTAACCATCTCTCTGCCCAGTTCTGGCTTTTTTCCAGTCATATATCTTGATCTGACCTTAGATCCACACTGTAGCCTTGTCTCTA